CACCAACTGATATCATTGGTTGTTCAAATGCATAATTCATATCATTGGTGGTTCAAATGCACCAACCGATATCATTGGTGTCTGAGTTCATTGACCGATATCATTGGTGTTCAAATGCACTAACTGATATCATTGATTGTTCAAATGCACTAACTAATATCATTGGTTGATCAAGTCAATTGACTGATATCATTGGTTGTTCAAATGCACTGACTGATATCATTGGTTGTTCAAATGCACCAACCGATATCATTGGTTGTTCGAGTTCATTGACCGATATCATTGGTTGTTCAAATGCACAAACTGATATCATTGATTGTTCAAATGCACTAACTGATATCATTGGTTGATCAAGTCAATTGACTGATATCATTGGTTGTTCAAATGCACTGACTGATATCATTGGTTGATCAAATGCACTAACTGATATCATTATTTGTTCAAGTCAATTGACAGGTATCATTGGTTGATCAAATGCACTAACTGATATCACTGGTTGTTCAAATGCACTAACTGATATCATTGATTGTTCAAGTCAATTGGCTGATATCATTGGTTGTTCAAATGCACTAACTGATATCATTGGTTGTTCAAATATACTAAATGATATCATTGGTTGATCAAGTCTATTTACTGATATCATTGGTTGTTCAAATGCACTAACTGATATCATTGGTTGTTCAAATGCACTAACTGATATCATTGGTTGATCAAGTCAATTGACTGATATCATTGGTTGTTCAAATGCACTAAATGATATCATTGGTTGTTCAAATGCACAAACTGATATCATTGATTGTTCAAATGCACTAACTGATATCATTGGTTGTTCAAATGCACTAACTGATGTCATTTGTTGTTCAAATGCACTAACTGATACCATTTGTTGTTTAAATGCACTAACTGATATCATTGGTTGATCAAGTCAATTGACTGATATCATTGGTTGTTCAAATACACTAAATGAAATCATTGGTTGATCCAGTATATATCGACTGTTATCATTGGTTGTTCAAATGCGATAACTGATATCATTGGTTGTTCAAATGCACTAACTAATATCATTGGTTGTTCAAGTCAATTGGCTGATATCATTGGTTGATAAAATGCACTAACTGATATCATTGGTTGTTCAAGTCAATTGGCTGATATCATTGTTTGATCAAATGTACTAACTGACATCATTGGTTGTTCAAGTGAATTGGCTGATATCATTGGTTGATCAAATGCACTAACTGATATCAATGGTTGTTCAAATGAAGGAACTGATATCATTGGTTGTTCAAGTTAATTGGCTGATATCATTGTTTGATCAAATGCACTAACTGATATCATTGATTGTTCAAGTCAATTGGCTTATATCATTGGTTGTTCAAATGCACTAACTGATATCATTGGTTGTTCAAATGCACTAACTGATATCACTGGTTGTTCACGTGAATTGGCAGATATCATTGGTTGTTCAAATGCACTAACTGACATCAATGGTTGTTCAAATTCATTGACTGATATCATTGGTTGTTCAAATACATTGACTGATATCATTGGTTGTTTAAATGCACTAACTTATATCATTGGTTGTTCAAATGCACTAACTGATATCATTATTTGTTCAAGTCAATTGACTGATATCATTGGTTGATCAAATGCACTAACTGATGTCACTGGTTGTTCAAATACACTAACTGATATCATTAATTGTTCAAGTCAATTGGCTGATATCATTGGTTGTTCAAATGCACTAACTGATATCATTGGTTGTTCAAATGCACTAACTGACATCATTGGTTGTTAAAATTCATTGACTGATATCATTTGTTGTTCAAATACATTGACTGATATTATTGGTCGTTCAAGTCAATTGAAGGATATCATTGGTTGTTCAAATGCACTAACTGATATCACTGGTTGTTCACGTGAATTGGCTGATATCATTGGTTGTTCAAATGCACTAACTGACATCAATGGTTGTTCAAATGCACTAACTTATATCATTGGTTGTTCAAATGCACTAACTGATATCATTATTTGTTCAAGTCAATTGACTGATATCATTGGTTGATCAAATGCACTAACTGATATCACTGGTTGTTCAAATACATTATCTGATATCATTGATTGTTCAAGTCAATTGGCTGATATCATTGGTTGATCAAATGCACTAACTGATATCATTGATTGTTCAAGTCAATTGGCTGATATCATTGTTTGATCAAATGCACTAACTGACATCATTGGTTGTTCAAGTGAATTGGCTGATATCATTGGTTGATCAAATGCACTAACTGATATCAATGGTTGTTCAAATGAAGTAACTGATATCATTGGTTGTTCAAGTGAATTGGTTGATATCATTGTTTGATCAAATGCACTAACTGATATCATTGGTTGATCAAATGCACTGACTGATATCATTGTTTGATCAAATGCACTAACTGATATCATTGATTGTTCAAGTCAATTGGCTTATATCATTGGTTGTTCAAATGCACTAACTGATATCATTGGTTGTTCAAATGCACTAACTGATATCACTGGTTGTTCACGTGAATTGGCTGATATCATTGGTTGTTCAAATGCACTAACTGACATCAATGGTTGTTCAAATTCATTGACTGATATCATTGGTTGTTCAAATACATTGACTGATATCATTGGTTGTTTAAATGCACTAACTTATATCATTGGTTGTTCAAATGCACTAACTGATATCATTGGTTGTTCAAATGCACTAACTGACATCGTTGGTTGTTAAAATTCATTGACTGACATCATTTGTTGTTCAAATACATTGACTGATATTATTGGTCGTTCAAGTCAATTGAAGGATATCATTGGTTGTTCAAATGTACTAACTGATATCATTGGTTGTTTAAATGCAATTAAGACAGTCCATTGAGACAGTGGTCACTATTATTATGCTACATTTGTGCATTTTTCTAGAATTCCTTTGTAGATTTTGAACCAAGTGGGCATATTTACTTACATGTCTTGATGAAAAATTTAGAAAAGAAACACAGAAAAAAATATAAGCAGGTTTATTTTCTGAATTTTGCCAAAAGTATAACAATTTTAAATTACAAGAATAATATTTTGACACATTACACACCTGAGAGTGAATTCACGGTGTCGATATCATGCTCCAAGACATGGGTACGCTTTTCCGCCCAACTAATTACAAGTGAAACTGCACATTTTTTTTATATCTAAAACAATTATTCGCTTACTAGTTGATGTACTCGTTGTGTAAATTGTATACCTAACAACAATAAAAAAACAATTATCTCTTTTTGTTACACTGTTAGTTGAATTTAATAACCATTTTTAATTTAATAATGTTCATGTTTTCTTGAATTTTTCTGACCACGCATAAAGTATAAAACCTAAACCCCATATAGGTGTTAGTGATTGCTTATATATTGTTGCGAAGCATGACAACCTGGACAAATAGGGCGACGATTATGTCCGCATTATCGTTATCTGCGCAGTAATCTGCGCATGTTCAGACTGGAGTGAACTAGTGTGGAGAATAAGCAATACATGAAATGCTATTACCCTTGACTGGGTCTTTATACAATTTATGAACACTCTGACTTTCAAAGCAGCAGTCAAATATCAAATTAATTCTCGTTTGCAATAACAGAGGGTTTCCGTTCATTGGTCTGGCCATTATTATGTGGGTAGGTCATTGCCCAACGTGCGTACACATTACTAGCTTATAGGACATCTGGATAATTAATGGCGCGTATGTTCATGAGATACCGTTGGTGACTAAGTGGGCGGGGATGATAATTCGTGATTCAGACCTTAGGCAAATAATAACGAGTTATGTACGCAAGATAAAAAAAAAGATCATAATCATCATCAAAAGACAGAGACATTTTGCGTTTAATTTGTTTCACGATTATGACGTCACCTACGACTTTAGACAGACCTGAGTGTGACACCTACTTATAAATGCACAACGACCTGTATTTGGCTGCTTGATCCGGTTTTGGAGCAGTCAGCCCACACACTGGACTATTTTAAAATCGTCGGCAGACGATATCGCCGAGTTTCCCGCTTATTTATTTCAAGAGATAAAAGAAACGTGTGTTGTTTGTCTCAAATTCTAATCTCATTAAAAATTAACCGTTAACTGACGATAGTTCACTAGCCGGTACCATTTTTCATCTGTCGAATAAGACGAGATGTAATCACGTGACCAAGGCGTGTAACGGTGGAGGTGACAATATATACGTTATTTTTATATTTACTCATCTAGACAGAACTTAGCCTTCTTAACAAGAATCTAACAGCATGTCGCCATCTTGGACGAAACTGTTCAACTTCTGCATCACAGGTAGGTGAAAGGATGACTTTATTGGACCCAACTCGTTTAACTCTGTTTTATTCGAATGTAAATAAATAAGATGGTCGTGAGATTATGGAGACCGTAGCACGGCATACACATATAAACATCGACGAGTGAGACAAAGCGTCCACCTCGCCTCACTTCATAAATATACTGAAGAGTATGACGCGTTTATTGGCCATCAGGTTGGCAGTCGTTTGCTTTATTGAGCATACTGAACTCAGTTATCAGTGTCAAGTATATGAGAGGCAGCCATATTATGCATACATTAACCGGCATTCTCTTAAGTAGGGGGCATTAAGTAGCTACCCATTTAAAATCTGCATAACCGTGGCATTGTTATTGTGCACGGACACCGGGTATCCAATATAGTATATTCTATTTAATATAATTATATAATTTTAGTTGTATAGAAAGTTGGAAAATAACACATACAAGTTTTACAGTTTCTTTGAACAGCCCGACTAAAATATAATTCGCTAACATTTGAAAGCGAATTATGTGCAGCATTTCATCTTTGTTAACATCATTGAATATATAAAAATCTAGTTTTGTGGTAAACAAATAAATTAATTCTTGTTCTTCGAGATAGCTAGCTTTCTACAACTGAACAAATGTTTCAACGACAATGGCGGATTTGCAAATTAATGATTAATCACTAATTTGAATAAAGTTCTTTTGGCCGTGAGATATTTTTTGTCGATGTTAGGTTTGTGTGTGATGCCTCGCTGTGTTTGTTCTGTGTGCCATGTTGACGCTATATAAACAATGACTCGCACAGCTTATGTGAACAGAAGTTGGCCTCGCAGTTATCTATTTCTGTCATTGACACGTGTTCAACTGTCCCGCGCAACGAGTGTGTTAATTTCAGAATTCAACCGTGGCTCAACTTGCAATTATTTTCTGCGGCGGTGTACCATTGTTTTACACTAGCTCATTGAACAAACACAAGGACACACTGTCAATCGTGTTTATGCCCTCTGTACACGTCTACTGTTACACATCTCAATCTGATTAGATTGAGATTCTTTGTGTTGTCTTGCTTTATTATTATTATTTTACTGATTTTTGGCATTTTTTAATTTTTTTAATTAATTTGTTTGAAATATTTCGACTAACTTCACTGGCGGGTCTTTTTTTACTAATGCGAGTGCAAAATCGCACACGAATGTTTTGCAATCACGTTAGTAAAAAAAGCTCTGCCCAAAATTTACACTAATTGAAAATAAATAATTTAACAAACAATACCTAAAATAAAAATAAAATAAAAATGCCACATATTCAAAGAAACACTTTATTTTCAGATCTCGTCGGGTTAAAGTTGTCGCTCTTTGTGGATCAACTTGAAAGTATTGCAGTTTTAAATTTGTACTATTTAAAAAAAATCACTTATTGAACACACATGCAAACCAAGAACGCTAAAAGCATTATTTGCACGTCCCAGTTCTCTTTATAAATGAGGTCAGCTATTATTTAAGGCGCGGATGAGACGGTACGTGATGTACTGGTTTGATTTTGTCTCCTTAGCAACTGATCAAACTTGTTATTACTGAAGTTCACTCAACATGTTTGCTTGCTTACAAGTCACAATTGTAAAGGTAGCACAATTATTATGTATTATTCATTTCAGTTTTAAGATACTAGTAACACGTAACAATCTATTAATACGATGCCTGCGAACGAGGCTGACTGAGACGGCCATTTTATTGTGTCGATATTGTTACGTTTTAGCATTAAGTATAATTATACCGCCATTTACACCGCTCGCATTAAAATAACCACGAAGCCGAGTGCTGCAACTACGGTTTTCAGGATCATGTGCACGTATGTGGTCAAAATGGCAATCACGTCGAGTGTTTGGCGTACACAGTTGAACATGCACTGCACTTCTTTTGAATGTGCTAGTCCGAGATATATTTGTTACGTAATATGCGATCAATAATTGTGATTCAAAAATATATGTAGTGTAATGTAATACACAGTAATAATAGAGCAATGTGGAGAAACGCAGAGGGTTATAGTGTAGATTACGCATCGTAGTGTAGTGTAGTGTAGTGTAGTGTAGTGTAGTGTAGTGTAGTGTAGTGTAGTGTAGTGTAGTGTAGTGTAGTGTAGTGTAGTGTAGTGTAGTGTAGTGTAGTGTAGTGTAGTAGGAGGCAATATAGTGTAGTGTAGTGTAGTGTAGTGTAGTGTAGTGTAGTGTAGTGTAGTGTAGTGTAGTGTGGTGTAGTGTAGTGTAGTGTAGTGTAGCGTAGCGTAGCGTAGCGTAGTGTAGTGTAGTGTAGTGTAGTGTAGTGTAGTGTTCATATGTCGAAAAAGTGAAAAATACTATTATACATAAAAATCAAACCTGGTGAGCATTCACAGCGGGTGTCTTTAGATTACTTTCACTATTCATTTCATCATATCGACCTTTCGTATTTATCATCGGTGCTCCAATCGCTTTCCCAATGTTGGAATCGAACATCAAATTTGCCGCTACGGCCGATTTATCTCGTCCACGATACGCCGCTTTAGGTCGCCGGAAATAACTCATCGTTTTGTACGACGTCACTGTGGCTAACAACACGACACACAGGAGGAATACTCTGGCTCTTCCGCCGTGCGTGATCGCAGACACTACCAGCGATCTACTGCGCCTTGCTAAACACCCTAGAGAGCTACGCTGAAAGCGTTCAAGGTTTATCGGAAACCTAGCGGAGCTAAAGCTCTCTCCCAGCGAGGAAAACGACTCCATATTTGTCCTACGAGACATAATATATCCACGTTGTTGTTTTTCTGTGTCTGTTTTACAAGCTACCCAGCCCTTTATATTTGTATGCGCGCGTGCGTTATCTAAATATTTAGGTATTTGTGGAGCACATGAATACGGGATTTTCATTCATCGTCGGAGCGGGCTTTGTTTCTGAACAACGACAGCTGGGCAGCATATCACGGTACAAAATAGTTTTATTTATTTATTTGTTATTAATATATTTATTAATTTCTTTCTTTCTCAAATTTGAATTGTAACATACCACTCTTTTAGCTGAAATATGCTGTAATAAAAGTAATTAAAAAAATCTCTTTTCCTTCTTCTTTCTCTCTTTCTTTATGTATCTACATAAATACTACCTTGCTTGCTCTCTTGTGTATAATACATACATACTTACTTACTTACTCGTTTACTCGTTTACTTACTTACTATCATTAATAGGATAATATATTAGAATGTACATGATACAGACAAGTAAACAACTTATTTGCTTCCTTCTTCCTTCCTTCCTTCCTTCCTTCCTTCCTTCTTTCCTTCATTCCTTCCTTCCTTCGTTACTTCCTTCCTTCCTTCCTTCCTTCCTTCATTCCTTCCTTCCTTCCTTCCTTCCTTCCTTCCTTCCTTCCTTCCTTCCTCGCTTCCTTCCTTCCAATCACAGTAACTCATTGGTGCGGATGAATATAGTTTTGAAATGACATTAGCGGTACAAAAAAGAGGCCCAATAGCGACCCATATCATCTAATTTGAATCTACTTTTTTTATATACTTTTTAAAAACTTTTGCTTTAAAATATCCGTGGGTCCAGAGAGACCTGCAGTGAAACCACCAGCATGTAATGACCGGCAGCTGCACTCAGGTCCTAGAAATTACGCGTAATACAGTGGAAATCCGGGCATTTTCACCGCCTGGCAACCATCATTGAACATTCTATGGCGTAGCTCTGCTCCCACTAATTTACCTTAGTTGCAAATGCCCGTCGAAAACTCGTTCAGAACGAGAAATTCACAAGACTTGTTTTCATCCCCTCAAATTTAAGTATGTTCTATTCTCTCCTGTCATCGAGTGTATTGCCCCGCTTGAATATGTAACATTAATACCTGCAGCCGTGGACGCGTGATGGGCTAGAATGAAACATTATTTGTAGGGAAAAGCAAGTCTCGCGGCATTTCATTGTCAACGATATCTCGGCGGCCATTTCGTCTAAGGTCAATTTACTCAATAATAAATCACTTTCAACCTTATAGTACAGCTGTCAGTCGTTACTTGTTGGAGGTCGGATTATAGGTTTCTCTGGACACTTCCCACAACACCGCATACAAAACAAAAGCTGATTCCATATTTACAATGGCTTTCAAATTATTTTTTTAATAATTAGATAGTTCGACGTCATGTAATCAACAAACGTTTTATTTTCAACAAGTGGGCGGTCGCAATCTTATTACAATCTGTTATGAATTCTGATACTACGATTTTTACTTTAACTTGTTTGGATATTACGGACCCTCGCTGTCATGATATACTATATAATGAGGTGTTTCTAAACTTATATATTTTTATGTATAACTTTTTTCACTTAGTTGTATTATCTACGCCATTTGTGCATGCTCTTGAGGTATACACTCTGCCCGAGGTGGAGGGAGAACGACTTGGCTCTGCTACTCTAAAATGTTCCTATGAAGAGCCGGAAGATGACGCTCAGCATCTCACAAAAGTCTGGACAATGAAGTCTGAAGTGACGGGAGAAACTGAAGCAGTTTTCAGCCAGGTTGACAACGGTGTTGGTGAGGCGTTCGGTCGCTATGTTGGGCGGGTCACTCTCACTGGGCCTCAAGCTGACATCACCATATCTCGTCTAGAGCTCGTCGATAACGGAATATTTCAATGCGCTATAGATTTCTATGTTGCCAGGGAAACTGGCCATGGTGAAACAGTACTGAAAGTATACAGTAAGTAGACTTCGTGTCATTGACTTAAAGCGGGGGAGTCGTGACCTTCGGCAGACGGTCGTAGCGTTTCGTTGTTTGTAAACAAGCGTGTACCCATGAGCCTTTGCGTTTTTAGCGTGCGTTGTTATTGTCGAATGGGACTCAATTCTCGCGTTCGCGCAGGTGATGAACCCTCAGCTTTAATTTACATAGACGAATTTGGGGCTCCAATGTCGTACACACGAAATGAAGTGTAAGATATTTCTGGAATAAGATATACTAGTGTGTCTATTAAACCTGTGCCAACT